TGAACTTAACTTCATTTCAATAAACGTTATTTTCTAATACTTTTTGCAATAACACAATATTTGTGATCTCATTACATAAGTACTCTTATTAATTTTTTTGTACGCACACCCAATCACTTCCGTATTTTTGTTTATGAGTATCAACCATAATTTTCTTACTATGTTCTTCAAGAAATAAATCAAAGTAACTTCATTCGAATAAACGTTATTTTCTGATATTTTTTGTAATAACACAATATTTGTGATCTCATTACATAAGTACTCTTATTCATTTTTTTGTATGAACACCCAATCACTTCCGCATTTGTGGTAAACATCCACAAAAGTTGTTTAGCATCCAAATGATTAAACTCATTCTATCGAAGAATTCCAAAAACGATTTGACCGAGAATTTTTGAACGCTACTGTGCGATACTCCAGGTTCTTTACGTCACATTGACATCGGAGTCGTTAAATTGGTGAACATGTTTCAAGGCGGAATTATTTCCCCGGAGTGGTTCCCAGTTTATACCTCAGCTGCTCCCTTTTGCAGAAACGTGAACGTGCGTCGCCGAATAATTTATCCGTAAGCCACAACAGTGAATAGTGCACACGTCGCGTCGCGTCGCGTGGCACACGTAGACGTCGCGGCAACTATACCTTGATTACAATCGTCCACGGTTTCTCGTGTGTAATTTTCTCCAGATAGAGCTGGTAACACACTTGCAGGGACCGTTTACGGTATATTTAGAATAATGATAGTCTTTCCAGCATATTATAGTAAGAACTGGAAAGGTAATTAAGGTAGAAGGTAAATGAAAATCAAAGGAATGTGATCGTTAAATAGTATGTAGAGCTCTAGCGATCAATTCAACGTGTGCATGTTCATATTCAGCGGTTCTGAGCTTCTAAGCTGCTTCTCGGACTTTAGAACTCTCGTTGTTTCAATTATTCACTGTGCTATAGTTAAACTACTTTTCTAAATCTATAAATTTCATCAGCTTCAAATTGTTTCGTGGTATTACATTATTTATTCCATTTTCAACCCATTTGCTTTATTTTCTAAATTTCATCATTTTAAAATTATTTCGTAAGATTACATCATTTACTGTGTCATTTTCAACCTGTTTTCTTTATTCTCTAAATTTCTTCATTTCAAAATTCTTTCATAAGATTAAATTATTTACTGTGTCGTTTTCAACCCATTTTCCTTATTTTCTAAATTTCATCATTCCAAAACTCTTTCATAAGATTAAATTATTTACTCTGTCATTTTCAACCCATTTTTCTGAGTTTCAAAATTTCATCATTCCAAAACTCTTTCATAAGATTAAATTATTTACTGTGTCATTTTCAACCCATTTTTCTGAGTTTCTAAATTTCATAATTCCAAAACTCTTTCATAAGATTAAATTATTTACTGTGCCATTTTCAACCCATTTTCCTTATTTTCTAAATTTCATCACTTAAAATTCTTTCATACGATTACATTATTTACAGTGCCATTTTTAAGCTATTCTCCTAACGTTTCATCCATCATTTCAAAATTATCTCATACGATCCATTAATCAGTTTATCTATTATATTATTTCCAAGTTCCGACAGTCAACGTGTCCCAGAATAGAAAAAGGAAAGTCTAAAGTTTCGATTCTCGAATAGATTAACCGAAGATCCTCAACAGCTCTGAAACGGATCTCGTGATTTCATCGACACCGTCTAGCATCCAACTTCCGTAAGAATATTAATCGCATTTTTAAGTCCGCCAAACTTGCCAGGATTCGATCGAATTTGAAACTGTCAAGGAGAGGATCGAGAACTTTCCATTGCCGTGCAACCTATTTTCGATTCTCACGGGCGTGTCTGTCCAGCGATTTAATAACTCGCTGTCTATTCCGCTCGTCTGACCATGAACGGGTCTGCTCCACTCGCTACTTTTCCCGAATCCACTTAACGTCCCACGTAATCGTCTAGCCTATTTATAAAGACACTTAAAAACTTTTCGTAGCCTCTTTCGCTTTACGTTCCTCCTTCTGCATATTAATTCGCCTACGAGTTATAAGAACAGTCGCAGGAATATTCAACTTTTTCTCGTCAGGAAATACGGTAGAGCCACAATTTTTCAGAAACAACGTCAATTAACTGCAACTATTAGCAACCTATTCTTCGGTCCATGGAAATCACTGAAACTTCGTATTCAATATCGCGTTTATTCAGAAAGAATTTCAAGGTAGTCGCGTAGGTTAATATTGATGACTTCATGGATGTGCGTGTATATGTATGAGTGTAGCGTGCGTGTATACGTTTTGAATAAACGCGAAAAAAAAGATATTAGAAAAAACGAAGTTAATGTTGACAACGGAAAATAATAAATTATCATCGTTTAAATCAACGTCTGTAAAAGGTTCAATTAGTAATTATTTATTCAAGATATAACAATAGTAAAATAGAAACACAACAATAGTAAAAGAAACAAGACTAAAAAATCTGATGAAATCATAGAGTTCCATAAATCAATATCAATTCCTCCAAAAATTAATCTATTTCTCCAAAGTTCCCCAAACAATCAATTCTCGAAAACCCGAAGTTTCCTCAGTTTTTATTCCAACGAAAAGCAAGAAAATATTCTCACAATTCGAAATTATACAGGGTGGGTCAATAACTCTTAGCACCTCAGATATCTTCGAAATTATAAGCTTCACAGAAATATTTGCTGAAATAAAATTGCAATTGATAATAGTTATTTGCAGGTGGAGGTACTTCGTATTTGAAAGTCACCTCCATTTTTTTAAATGGATCGGTATGTTTCTGCTTCCGTATCATGATAGAGGATCTTAAAACGAATTCAACGACCTATTGCATAAGGTCATTGAAGGCCATAGAAAGTAGAGAAAAGCGATAATACTCACGGTTTCAGTAGTAAATGAAATATACGTTTATAGTAGTTCGAAATGATGATCATCACTGTCGTTGGATTGGCGATCCAATATTGTGGCCAGCTCGTTCAGAATTTATTTTATTTTATTTCAGCAAATATTTCTGTAAAACTTACAATTTCGAAGATATCTGCGGTGCTAATATTACCCCACCCTCTATATAGCACCTCCGACGTAAATTCTCAATGCAGCACAGCCAACCACAAAGTGCAAAGGATTAAAAACAAAAGCACTATACAACACCATATTTTCCCCTATCTCCTCTATCACTTTTGTCCAAGCTTCGACGAATCCGCGGAGAACGACTACTCTCGCGCTCAAAGATCCCATTGTTCCTCGGCAGTAACATGATTTATTTTAGATCGGGCCGCGCGTTTCGATCAAAACCGAGGATAAATTCGATTTGTCCGTCGGATCGGCGGAAACGTTTCCTGGATCGTTGCCTGTTGGCAGCGAAGGACCTCGGCGATTCCTTCCGTCCCGAGGAGCCGCTTCCGCTCGAGCGGAGGTGTCCCCGGCTGTTAAGGTCCGAGCCCGGAAATAACGGCGGCCGAACAAAAGCGCGGCTGCCCGCGGACGCGGAACGCTTCGTTAAGAATTGGCAATCCACCGCGGGATCCTTTTAACTCGACTTCCGGGGACTCCGACGTGATTGCGATCCGTCGGCCAATCACGGAAGGAGACCGGCGCATCGCGTAGCGTCGCGGCGCGGACGGCCGTCTGTTTGCTCGGGGACGCCCGGTTGTTGTTTGCCCACCGGTTGTGTGTACTGATAATTATTATACACAACCGCGTTACGTAAATATCGCGCGAACCGCCGACGGCGGCGTGTAATTCGCCGTTCCGACGGAGGCGAAGGTCAGCTTGGTTGTTGCGGGAATAGCGATACAGTGTTCGTCGAATTAGAATTAGAATGGATGAGATAAACGAGGTTTTGTAAGCACTTTTGCTTACTGGATTTAAATATGAGAATGATTCAGCTTGGTTGTTTGAAGAATAATGATTCAATGTTCGTCGAACTAGAATTAGAATGGATGAGATAAATGAAAGGAATAAACGAGGTTTTCTACGCAATATTGTTTACTCGATTTAAATACGAAAGTGATTCGCATATCTCCCAATTTTTTGTTTGAGTTAAACGTAAGATAATAGAATATACATTTTAGTGAATATTAAAGTTATTATTACGGTAAGATCATGCGGCCTTATAAGTAAATACTCGTTTCATATAAAATATTATAATATAAGCTAATTTTATTATTATTATCCTGCTGTTATGGCATTAGTTATGCAAAACCATTGTGTTAACGATATTCCTATGAAAATTTCCGTAATAAATGCAATATGAATCAGCTTGTTGAATATTCCCTTAATTAGAATATTAATCATTGAATACTCATTAGCGTACAGCTGCAACGTAAAATAGTCTAATAATATAAAACAATCTAAAACGGTTTAAGAAAGAACACAGACCTTCGAACCCATGTAACAAGATATTCCTTTGAAAATTCTAAATCGCATCCGGAACGCTACCGATAAATGTTAATTCCATCTGAGCTTAAACTTCTTATTCCATCCTCATAAATTGAGCAATTTATTAAACCGTTGCATTACTCGATGAACCCACGCTCGGCGAGATAGCCGAGGTAACTAGGGGCGTCACGGTGAATTGACCTTTAACGCGAACTCGAACGAAAGGTCGAATATTCTCTACTTTTTGCCTCGGTAAGAACTGTTCCGGCACGGTTTATTTGCTTCAGACACAGCCGTCGGTACGCAAAGATTTGCGGTATGACCAATTCTGCTCGGTCATGTCTGAACACTGTCCAAGTAAATTTTGGAAGCGTTTTATTGCTAGCTACAGTTTTACATCCGATGTCATAAATGACCAGCAGCTGACATGTCATAAAAAGCGGCAGCTCAATCACTTAAACTATATATATATAGTTATACTTATACATATATTAGTTATAGTTATACTTATATAGCTATATATATATATATAGCGCGAGACACATCGAGATATCGAGATAGACATGGAGACAGACATATAGACAACACAAGATCATTACTAATCACGCTGTATTCACTGGAAAACACACACACTTCAACTTTGTGTACACATACACACTCCTTTCACTCATTATTCAACAAATGCAGCCCACTTTCGAACGAGAAAAGGGGAAGCCTTTTTTCATCGTCACAACTACTTCACACAAGGTTAACCCTCTGTGGCCCCATGTAACTTTGAAGTCACATATCAGTATATTGGCATCTTGTCGAGTTATTTCATTTTGCGCTCAAAGTGGCGAATGAAATGAGGTAATCGGTTAACTGCAACTTTTACATGCTCAGGCGTGAAAGTTTGTCACTGTAACTTGAAAGTTACGAAATATGTTCGATTGATAATTTCAATTATGGGAACTATTGAATACATTGTTAATTCGTATTCATATGATATTTATTAATTTCGTACTGCACAGATTTTGTTATAATCGTGAACAAAAATTCGGCGTGTGAAAGTGTTACGCCACGTCCGCTAATATTGCCCGGACACCGTGCACGAACAAGAACGATGCATCGGAACTTTTCTGTTCTCGTCGTCTCCTTCCGCTTTCTTCGTCCGTGTTTCTGGCGTCGTGAAATACACGCTGCCGAATCGTCGCTCGCGAGAAGCTCGCGGATCGCTGTCTCCGGGGATCGTTTCATCGCGAGGAGATAAATTCCGAGGAAATTCGCTCGTTCCCGGCGCCGTTCCACCGAAAGAAAACTCCGCGTTCGCGAAGTTTCGCAGCGGATCCTCGATTTCCGTGCTGCCCGTCGAATCTCGCCCTCGGAACGATCGTGAAAAGAACGATCGACCTACCGACGTCGGACAGCAACAGGCTATTCTTCCGACGAGCGTCTCGAATTTCTCCCTCATCCGCGGAAAACTCGTTTCGACGGAGTCCTGCTGGATTGCTCTTGTTTTTGTTCCTTCTCGTTACGTGCTCTGAATTCTGGCTTCTGCGGCTGGGGCACGGACTCCTCGCGGCTCTGCGGGGATCGTGATTGTAGATCGGGAGAGATCATTCTTTTGACACTTTGACTGCCACGTCACTCGAATACGGGTGACACCATTTTTAACGTAATCTTGATTATTTTCTTGATGACGCATCGAACGAAGTTTCGTTGAATGTGTGAGATATAAGGAGAGTAATGCAATCGTTACGAAGAACCTTGATCCTTTGGTTTTTGTTTTATTGAGAGAACCGTTTCGATTGCATGGGAGTTTTGGTGGTTATTTACTTGGCAGTGAAAGTGTTAAGAATTTTCTTTGAGTGAATATTCTAGGTGGCTGACTAGTGGAGGGGCTATACTACTTGTTTGTGGTTGTAGTTGCGTGGATTTTGATACGGATGATTGAGGAGATTTTACTATTTGTTTTATTAGTCACGAACTTGTGCTAGTTGTCTGACAAATGGTACACCTATACTACTTACTAGGTTACTGAAGTACTAACAATTTGATTCCACTTGTATTTGTGGTTCGATATGTCAAGTTTCGTACTACTTATCTAGTCAATAGCAGATTTGTATTGCTCGTCTGACCAATGGTAGCCTTTACTACTTACAGAATCGACGATAGAAATAGTGTTCAGTCTAAAATCGCAAACATCTGAAATTCAATTGAGTATGATTAGTGATTAAGTTGAGAGAATAATGTTAAGTTAAAATTTGAAAGGGTGCTTTTGACACCTTATAATGTAATATAATATACTGTATTATATTGTATTACATTAAATTATATTATACTATATTATATTGTATTACATTAAATTGTATTGTACTATATTATACTGTATCACATTAAATTATATTATACTATATTATACTGTATTACATTAAATTATATTATATTATGTTATAAGGTGTCAAAAAACATCCTTCCAAATTTTAACTTAAAATTATTTTCCCAGCTTAATCATTGCTCAATTGAACTTCGAACATTCGGAGCTTTAAACTTGACACCTCCGACAAAAATAGCAATAAGAGGCATCTGTCATCGTCTCCCAAGGGCCAGGATCAGAGTGCACCGACCAATTGCAAGAATCGATGCAACGGACGCTGCAGCGACCGAGCAAATCAGCGAATGAGGATTACTATAGAGCTACTATATTATATAATCTATACTATACTATATTGTATTATCTTAAATTACATTATATAACACTCTGAAATTTTAACTAAAAATTATTTTCCCAGCTTAATCATTGCTCAATTGAACGTCGAACATTCGGAGCTTTAAACTTGACACCTCCGACAAAAATAGCAATAAGAGGCATCTGTCATCGTCTCCCAAGGGCCAGGATCAGAGTGCACCGACCAATTGCAAGAATCGAAGCGACGGACGCTGCAGCGAATCAGGGAATGAGGCTCGCAGAGCAGCGTGGCAGCTTCCAGTTGGAAGTCGGCCGAGTCCCCGCTGGGAATCGCATCCACGAACGTAATCGGCGGCTTAGCGCTGTCGTAGATCGCGGATTAACTTCCGCAGCTGGCCCCCGGCGACTCGGGCAGGAATTAAGATCTCCCGCGGAGACAACTTTTCTTAGACGTACTTTCGACCGGTTCCTAACGTTAATCCCCGACATAACGTTCCGTCGTCCATCTTTCCAAAGAAAGCCATTCGATCCGCCGTGCCCGACAATTCCTCGTCGCCGAAGCGTGCACGGAAACACGACAAATCTCTCGCGCCGATAAAAGGAAATTAATCTCACCGTTCGAACACTTTTCATCATGATCGATCCCGTCTCTCGCGGAGACGTTTGATATATTGGATTTTAATTATTCGATCATTACTGGGTATTATAATATTGAATGCCAGAAGTTTTGCCGGTGGTTCCACGGTTCAGTGCGAAGGAAATTTTGTATTGGGTATATTTGGCATTGCTATTATTAGAAATTAATTCTTTTCTAGTATTAGTTATTAGTTTATCATTAATAGAAATTATAGATCTCTTTCTATTCGATCACTAGTGAGTATTATAATATAGAATTCCGGAAGTTTTGCCGGTGGTTCCACGGTTCAGTGTGAAGGAAATTTTGTATTGGGTGTATTAGGGATTGCTATTATTAGAAATTAATTCTTTCTTAGTATTAGTTATTAGTTTATCTTCAATTATAGATCTCTGTCGATTATTAGTGTCAGTCACTAGTTTACTGTTAACCGAAATTATAGATTGTTTTCTATTACTAGCTCAATATTATTAAAAATTATATTTCTCTTTCTATTATTATTAGTAGACACTAATTTACGGTACGACCAGAAATTCTCATTCTGTATATCGTAAGTCAACCTCTTACGCTGGAAATGACTTCAGAAATTTAGCGAAGTGTCGCGAGTAGACTGATTTTCTAATCATTTTGTATAGAGTGATACATTTCAATATAATCTTCGCATAGGTAACAACGAAACTATCGATATGTATAACACATCATTTTCAATTTTCGAATAAAAACGTCTCGACGTGCCTGGTGCGTGTTTGC